ATGTTTTAAATTCGACCTTCTCCATCAGTTTCGTGATGGTAAAATTATTTCTTTTGTGTCTGATATTGTTCTCTAATAAGGTAGTATTTTCTTTCAGAGAGAAGAGGAGGGGGAAGAGGGAACTCTTCTGCTGGAAATAACGAGCAGTTATTAGGTAAAATCCAACACAAGTCCGACTAAAATGAATGGGACTTAAGGTATACTAACTTAAATTTCAGTCATTTTTTTGGATCTACACAAAATGGAATTTATGCTGGATTTTACTCCTTTCATGCAATCTTGTTAAATTGGAATCTTTGGATGTAAGAAGACCTGCACCAGTTGTCCCCAGACTTTTCTGACCTGCCGCCCCTTTCGTCTTGGGCAACAGCCCTACAGTCTCCAGACCTCTTTCCTTGTATTACGTTGATTGCTCTACTGCAAATTTAAAACAACCAATTACTGCCCCTTGGATCTTTCCACTGCCCCCACCCACACTTGGAATCACTGATCTACACTTTGACCAGGAGAGGCCAAACATGTGGATTTATGTCAACATTAGTGGACTTATGACAAAGGATTCTGTATTAAGTTGCTTTACTTCTCATTCTGAACATTCTGCATTGTCTTCCTTGGGGTAGTCCTCCCAAAAAAGTGTTCTTAGGCTTAATCTTAACCACATCCATCATAAGCATAGTTCATTGAAGTCCGGGGGTTTACTTTCAAATCACCAAGCTTGGGATGTTTTTTTGCCCTATCAGCTTGTACAGAATCATCTGAACTTTGCCCAGTAGCAGATCTGATTACTGAAGCTAAGGAATGCTAAACCACACCTATAACAATTAGTGGGACTCATTTGCCAATAGTGGGCATGATCCACCAAAGTTAGGCACAGAACTGCTAAGTCCCATAAAATTTCAATGACGATTCTCTCTCACTGAAATAAAAAACCCCCATTTTTAATCAAACTGTTTAATATAGAAGCTTTGGTGAGGGAGGTGACGAACTGTTGGAAACTGAAAATTATAATTCCAGTATCCACCCCTAACTCTATGAAGAGACCCTTCTATATGACTCCTTTGTCAATGCCGAAGGTTTATAATCCACTAAACTGAGCCAGACAAGACTAAATGCCATTTGAAGAGTGTCCTGACTTTCTATCTTAATCAAAACTGAGTTGAGCAGAATGGTATCTTTAGGTCTCCCAGACTCAGTATGAAAACCTGCCCAGAGATATTTCCAGATTTTAAAATCACCTTTGTCAAACCTGAAATCCCAATGGAGATGAGTTAGGAAACTTGAACTGATTTTTTCATATCATCTGCCTGATTTAAAAAATAAAGAAATACCAAGCCCAGATGAATATTTGTAGCTTCTATATTTGAAAAGGAAAGGTGTGTCCACTAAAATTCTCTTCAAAGCCTTGATTTTATGCTATCAATAGGGACGTAGGTGATTTGCCAGGCCTTCAATACAATACACCAAGAATACAAAACCGCATGCTCTGTCTCAGAAATCTAGATCTTCACAGTTAGTTAACTAATAAATACTTAATTATGGGCCTAGTTGTACTGGATTTTGTGGAAGAAAAGGGGAGAGTGAAAATGTCACCCTTGTTTTCCCTTGGTTACTTTTAGAAAAAAAATCCAATAAAATTATAATCCATATTCCCTGAATATATGGAATGCTTTCATAAAGGTTATATCACTGGTGGCCATCAGTGATGTTGCACAATAGCAAAGAAGTGCATTTATCGGGAGTGCAAACTATTCGATTAGGCACTTGCAATGCTTCTAGTCTGTGATTGCTTCCTTGGGAATGAACGACATTGGTATTCATCAGGTTTTCTTCAGAAGGAAATAGATATAAGACTGGAGTGCAACAAGCCATATTTATTAATGGATATCCAAGTTTAAAACAAACAAGAAGATGGAAGTTATGAGTAGCATACGCGAGCAATTCTATTTCGAGGACACCCTGTTGAACTGAAGTACCATTCATTTCAATGGGCCTCCACTAAGTAGGTCTAACATCTGATATTGCCCAACATGCTCAAATAGCAGCTTGTTGTTTGGAATTGTGTAGCTTCCCTGACAGGCTCTCCTTTGTCTTACATAAGGTGGGTCACAATTAGGCAAATTTGCACCCCCAGGTTTTAAAGGCAATGAGAAGAATGCACAATCCTTACTGGATTGTGGCCAGCAAGGAAACTGATAGAACTACTTTTCCCTACTTGGCACCCTGTAGTTCAACACATCTGAGGGGGGCCCGGTTAGAAAGGATGCTGCAGGCAGATGGAACCCTTAAAAAGCATCTCAAGATACATAAACACAAGATGCCTCCAGTTCCCTATTTCCCCCTCACCTGCACTTTCCTAGAGATGACTGGATGTTCTCAGGAGAGCTTGTGCGGGGCATGGGGGATAAGCCCGTCAGTGGTCAGTGCAGACAAAACCCACATTGGCTGAGCCTACCCCGCTTTCAGAGTATTTGCGGCTGATGATATGCTTAACCAATTGGAGCAGAACTAAGGAAGACTAGTCTTGTCTGTGGAAAGAATACTGCTGAAACGGAAGTTGAGGGGCCTTATCAAGAGCACACTCTCAGGCATGTCTCCCTAGGCGCAAGTCCCACTGAGTGTATAGGGCTCCCAACAGGGGTCAAAAACTCCCTGATCAGGGTGCTTCTCTTTTTGCCTGGGTTCAATTCATTTGCAGGTTTGCACTAACCAGAAGGGGCGGTAGATTTTAGGATCAGGACCGTTACAGCCTGATCTACCCTTGGTCCCCCCCCCCCCCGGAAAGCTCCACTGAGTTTTGTGGGACTCATTCCCACCCAAAAATTGAGTCGATGGCAGTCCCTGGGGCTCCACAATGCTTCTTCTTCATCTGGAAGCAAGTCTCCCCAAATTAAATCACTCTTACTGTACAAAAGGCCTGCACCCAAGCTTACAGTCCTAAAGTCATGTGAGCTGAACCCATGCGAGTAAAAACCGTACTCTCCAAAACACGGATTTCTGGGGCAGGACAAGGACCAGCAGTTTGCAGGTCCTTCAGCAAATGATTTACCATGAAGAGAGGCCTCTAAATGCCAGCCTTGCCCACTCCAGCACCTTGCCACAAGGTGCCACCTTCCTCCAGTTCCAGCCTTTCCGTGTATATATGTGCACGCATGTATATGTAGCTATACATCAAGCCTTCCACCCTTGAATAGCCCACTAAAGCCTCCAACAGGGCCTGCACTGTAGGCAATACTACCTAGGAACACTGCTCAAACACCCAGGTAACCTCGGTTTCAGTCTTGCTTTCTACAGCAGCAGTGGGCTAGGGATGGTCTTCCTCCTTTCTCTTCTCTGTCGCTAGATACGTGACTGCCTATGTACGGGGCCAGTGAGGATCCTTGTATGGGATCCAGCCATTAAAGAAGCAGGTTGGGTGGGAACTGATCAGCTTTGCACTGCAATGCTTGGCAAAGGTTTCCTTCCGGGGTAGTCCCATAAACCCCAGCGAAATTACTCCAGAGGAAGTAATTTAACAAGGGAAGCTCTCGCAATCTATTTTTGATACGTCAAAATGGACTGCGGGTCAATCTGCATAAGGCCAAGCTTCCTTGAAGCTCTCCTGGGGCCTCCTAAAGGGGGAAAGCTCTTTGTGCCACCCCAGTACCCAGACAGATGTAACTTCACTGAGGCATACACTTCTCCAAGGTAGAAAAACGGGGCAGGGGTGAAAGAAAGAGAGAGAGAGAGATTTATTTTTAAGAAATGTATTCTGCATTCAGTACATATCATTTGGACACCACATTATATACATATACAAGACATTAAAAAAGTGGATCGTTTTAACATGGATAAAGAACACTGACTGCTCTTTACGAAGAGACTGGTATAGAAAACAGAGCAATGTCGCACACTTTCCATACTGACGATGGAGAATAAACATTCCGCTTTGATAGTGAAAACACACGCAAATAAGAATAATTATTATTATAACTCAACCCAAGTGAGAACATATTCCAGAAAAAAAATGGAAATCATAATTAAGGGCATGACCAGCCAGTGCTGACTGCCATTTCCACTCCATTTAGGTCAACGGGGAAAGCAAGCACATGCTTTGACTTCCCTCTATCAAAAACAAATGGACTTGGAAATGTCTGTCTTTGGTTGGATCGTGTCCTAGGAATTACATAATTATTCATTTTGAAGGCAGAAGTGACAAGAAACGATTGATGTGTGTCTTAGTAAGACAGATTAAAATCAGAAAAAACATCAGCAACAACACCACAATCAGACTAGCAGCCTTAATTCTCATTCTTTTTCTTTTAAGTCCACCAAAGGAACAAAAAAAATTTAGGATCTCTTTATTGGAACTGCTGTGAATACGTTGTTCATTTATATATATATTTATTATATCATATATACAATATATATGATATCATCTCTCTCTCTTAAAAACTTTATTGGAACTGCTGTGAATATGTTTTTCATTATATATATAATATCATATATATAATATATATGATACCATATCTCTCTCTCTTAAAAAACAAAGCTCAGAGACAGAAACAGTGAAAGAAATGGGACATTTTTGATCTGTGGCACAGGGAGAGTGCTGGACTATACTACAGAGCTACAAAATTACATTTGGACTCTCAAGAGAGACATGTCTGTGTGGTTTGGGTGTTTCCCCCTCCCCTCTCGCCTCCTCTCTTTCCCCCCACCCTGGTTAGATGTGCACACTTAAAACCAGACCAAAATGGATGTTTAAGAAGGGCAACCGGATTCACAGTTAAAAGACGGCAATACAGGGGACAGAACAAACCAAAGATGGCGGTCTAATTCCCCACGCCTCCTTGGTGTTTTTAAATAACCAAATCAATTCAAGAGCTCGAATGCGTGTTTTATTTATACAAATTTACCAGATAAATATTTGTGTGTTTCTCTCCCCCTTGGTTATCATCATCATCATCATCATCAACATCATCATTATCCTTATTTTGTCCCCACCCCCAAGAATTTCTTTGTCAGGTAGCATGCAGGTGAGGTGTCTTAGATTTACTAACAACCTTTTTCTCCTTCACCCTGCGATTCTGAAACCAGATCGTGACCTGGCGCTCGGAAAGATTAGTGGTCGCCGAAATCCTTCTTCGCTTCTCTTTGGTAATGAATTTGCTGGCGGCGTATTCTTTTTCTAATTCTTTCAGCTGGATTTTCGTGTAAGGGACTCTTTTCTTTCGGCCCCTACGGTAGCTGCTCACTTCTGGCTGGAGAGGTACCACATCTGCAAAGATGAGGAGAACGGGAGAGGAGAGGGCGAGAGGAAGCGAGAGGGAGAGAGCGCAGAACAGGGAGAAGGGGGTGAAAGAGAAAAAGATAGGGGGTCTATTACATTAAACAGCATCTTGCAACTAGCTGGACAAAGTCTCTTCCAGGCGTTAGGGAGAGGACAGAAAGGCAAATAAAGAAGGGGAGCGCATGGGTCGCCGGAGCAGGGGAGGGAAGAGGTGCATACGGGAGAAGAGGGGGAGAGCAAGAGGCGGAGGAGCAAGAGAGAGCGAGGAGTGAGGGCGAAAAGCAGGCAGAAGCCGCAGCTGGGACACTGGGGGCGGCGGCTGAGCAAGGTATTAAATGAATATATTAGCACGGGGGTAAGTGCTGCTATTCCAGGCGATGTTTGCCCAAGACTGTTACCGAGAAGGAGCACCGAGTCACGGAGAAGGCAAATGGCAAGCGCAGCAGCTCCCTGTGAGCGCCAAGATTGGCAAAAATGGGGGGGACAGAGCCTACCCGTCCGCTCTTCACCCCGCCCCCCCCCGCCGAGTGTTTTCTGCCACTTTGGCTAGAGAGGTTTCGCCAGCCTGCCTCGGCGACCTCTTTAATGACGCTTGTTGCTTGAGGGGTCGGCATCCTAGACCGCAGCTCTTCGGAAAAGCGGCCGGGTTGCGGGGGGTGCCCGCGCCTAAAAGGGTGCCGGGGCAGGCGGCCCGCACCCCTTGGTCTATGCGACACAAGGAGCATCGGTAAGGCTGGGGGAGTTCGGACCTCGCGGTCCGCATCCTTTGTCGCTCCGTTCCAAAAAAGGGCCCTCGCTTCTGCGAATTTCCTGAAGGTAACCAAGCACACCGTCCAGAACGCACCGGAGAATCAATGCATTCTCATCATGCTTAATGCATTCAGTCTTTTCCTTAATAGCCCCTGACGCTAAGTCTACCCACTGCTCATTCTTCATGATTAACAGCAATCAGTCGCGCATCACCCCCCCCCCCCAATCCATTTCCCCATGGCTCTTTGAGCGCAAGATGCAGGCTAGCCACACGGCAAGAAACCAGAGGCGCTTGTGAACGCCAAGAGGATCCTGAAATGAAACGTAGGGAGAGGGTCCCGGCCGAAGGAAAGTGAACATCCCTGCCCCAGTACAGGTTGGCGAAGAAACACCCTCAGCGGCTGCTTCAGAAGAGCCGCTTCCTCGGTGCTTTCTCTGCTCTCTCGGATTCTCAAAGGGTATCGATGCATATTTTTCCCTAGAGATTTTAATTAAGGCCTAAAGGCAGAGCCAATGACAATATTATGGCATTGCGCGCAGACACACCAGCGTTTTTGAACTGGGGGGTACTTCCATAAGCTGCCGAGGCTATACGAAATGGAGTAAGAATAAAGGGAAATGTGTGTACAAGCCGCGCACGGGCGGGAGTGGGGGGATGTCTTCTGTTAAGTCCTCCACCTTACTTCAAGAACGACCACAACTCATGGAGCGGACTCTCCAGCTTCGACTACCTTTCCCCCAGGTAGCAATAGAGATGGAGAAAGCTGCTTTCTCATCCTGCTAGATCTCCCGCTAGCAAAGCCAAGGACCTCCCCCCCGCCCACCCTTCCCGGGCTTCCCTCGAGGGACTCTCGGCCGCTCGCTCCGGCTTTTTCACTCTCCCATCGACGTTTACAAGCGCAAACACGGATGCGTATGGCTGACATACAGTAGCGTCTGGATATAGGCCTCCTCTTGCCCGGCTCACGAAACTCTCATTCCTTCTCCTAGAAGGAGGGAATGCCCATCATGCAACGCTCCGCGCAGGCATTGTCGGCAAGCCCAGTCCTATCTGATGGGGCATCCCCTCTCCAGTATTCCCTAGATAAATGCGTGTCTCCCATCTTATTTATTCCTCCCACCCCCCTCCCGCCCTACTTGATGTTAATCTCGTCTCGCCCATCAATCCCTTCGGATCATTAAGGGGCCTGCATATTGACTGCAAGGTGGGGACCCCGCGACCAAATCTGACGCTCGTTGCTCTTTCATCTCTCTCCCCTCTCCCCAAGTGGGAAGGCAGGAAAGATAAGCCCGAAGCACTCCAGCTTTCAGGGTTACTCGCCGACTGTCAGTCATTCCAGATTTCTAACCAGAGGCAAAAGCATCGCCCTATTTCTCATTCTCGCCCTATTTCTCACTCCTCTTACAAGATTCATTTGTACGATTCATGTCACTTGACAGCTACTTCTGTAATTGCAATATGATTTACAGAACCTTTCCGAAAAGCTCAGCCTTTCAGAGAGGGAGGGGGAAGGAGAGAGGGAGGGAAGGAGAGAAAAAGGTACTAGGTGTTCCTAGATGATTCAGATTTTTTTAATCAAAGCAAAAGATAGAGATCCAGCTAAGTAAGCCAACGCAGGGAGAGAAGGAGGCCACACACACAGAAAGAGCCACTACCAAACTGGCTGTGTAAGCACCTTGGAGCTCCAAGGTATGTAGCTGGGTTTGCAGCCCGGTTGCTTTGTTTCCCCTTCTTCCCCGTACGTGCCCATGCAAGCGTTCCAAAGCCAATTTTACCTGGGCGGTTAGGTTATAGCATATGCACGAGATCATGCCGGAGCAGAAAGAGCAGAAGTCGAATCTGGAGCACCCTACCTGGGAAAGGTGATTTCCAGAGATGGGTAGACTGTGACTGCTCTTTCGAGCAATAGACCTGCCCGTCCCAGCCATTGGAAAGAGCCCAGTGCTGGTATCCTTCCATGGGAAGCAGCGCGTCGTGTCTGGGCTCCGGGTGGCCGCTGATACCTGGAACTACTGATACGTCCAAATAACCAGGGACCGCCTGGTAGGAGCTGGCAAAGCTCGGGTAAAAAGCAAATTCTTTGGCCCTTGAGGATAGTTCTTCGCTGGGGAGGGAGCCGCTGGGCTCGGGGTATTTTTCAGCTGGGTGGTAAGAACAAGGCTTCTGTTGTAAGTTTACGTTGTGGGAATGGGACAATCGGCATCCGTAGTAGCTGCCTCCAAAGGGATAGCCATAGCCCAAGGTGGCGTTCGAAGAGGCCGGTGGCGCCGGGCACTGCCTGGAGGCATCTGGAGCAGGTATATCCGTATAGACAGAACCCTGGTGAGTCCCAATGGTGCTGGAATGACGACCCAGTACCGGGTGCGTGATTAAATCCCTGCAGTGGCTCGCTGGGCAGTTCCCACTTAGCCCTTCCATGGCTGGGATTTTATTCTGGTTATTTTCATTCGGGTTCTCCTCATACACGTACATGAAGGTATCCGCCCAGCGTGGATGCAAGATCAGTGAAGTCGTCATATCATGGTCTGCCTGAGCTTTTTAAAACTCGACTTCCCAAAGAGAGACACCTAATTTCCCCAACATATTGTTTACGCAGGAGCATGCGCAGAGGCAGCGGGATGGGTCCGGTTCATTAAGAAATCCGCCGGGCCACGTGACCTGTAAATAGGGCTCCTTGCAGTTAGCATGGGCACGTGATCCGCCTCCAGTCCTATCACCTTGTCTCTCTTGGCTTTGGGAAGAGAACGGCGAGCTCCCATTGGCTCCCTACCCACGACAGAAACAGAAATTCTTAAAGGCAATGGGAGACACCCATTGATTGTAAAGCGCGTGAGGAAATAAGGGGAATGGGGGTGTTCAACATTTGGCCGACAATAAAGTGCTTTGAGATTTGTCGTACCAGAGTTCTAGAGCCTTGAAAAATGCTCAGTATTAAATATAAAACTAATGATCGGAATAATTTCATTGATAATGCCAATATTTTTTTTAAATCCCTTTCGCTAGATAGTATTGATCAGGAGTTTCTTTCCTGAGATATCAGTGAACGGCTGCGAAATAGCTGTATTTGGGGGGCTGAAAACCGAATAATTGTAATAATGAGGGGACCGATATAAAGGAAGGTAGTAGGTAGGCGCCAACCCTTGTGCTAACGACAAATTTGACAGTCCGACATGGAAGACGAAAATGCGCCGACTTTAGAAGACTTGCAGAGACCCGGAAAATGCACTGGACCGCCTTGGGGGCGCCGGGGGGGGGGGGCGGGTGGTCTTTTCCGTCCTTAAGACCTGCTTGCTTCTTTCTTTTTTGGCTTTCCCTCTCCCCCCACCCCGGTCTGTTTCTGGGAATCAGCGATTGGATCTTACGGGAAGTAAGGAAGCTGGACATTTACCGCCCAGGAAATTGATTTTCTTTCAGTCTCAGGGGTGAATGGGGAGATTAATATCAGTTTGTGTGTGCGCGTGCGGATATATCTCCTCAATGTATATATATATATATTCTTATTTTTCATAGAAGGAGGTGTTTGAAATCGCTAACACTTCCTTCGGTTCCCTAAATAAATACAAATCAGGGGACACTTTCTCAATATAATTAGTTTAGGGTTTGTGATGGTGGTGGTGTGTGTTGTGTGTTTTACTTGTACCATTTTTCACAGACTGACACATTTGGCATTTTTAACCCCTTGCTTGGCCATTCCATATGTACTTCTCTATTTCTTTTGTTGAGGTTGGGACTGATTTTAGGTTTTCAGTCAAGCTCCTTCTGGGGCATTAAGGGATAATAGTGAAGAAAAAGGAACAGCCCTTCCCCACACATTGCAAGAATGTTATAGATGTCTCCAAAACGTTTGCACGTTTTATAGGGTTTCTTCTTGTATGAGTCCAACCCAATAATGCTTAATCTTTCGTGTTCAACCAACTGGGGATGTTTTAAAGGGGCTGACTGTGATTATATTATGATATTATGTTATTAATGTTTAATACTGCAGTAGTAAATATTGCAGCTTCCATGTCTGCCTTTGAATGGTCGTGTGTGTTAGATAAAATGGGCTCAATGTTGATTTGTGTATGTGTAACAGACAATAAATGCAATTCACTTTATACAGAGTAAACAGGATCCGAGATGGATGGCTTATAATTAAACTGATGAAACAGAAGAATAGTCTGCCAGAGAGGGGTAGTTGCGACACGGAGATACATGTACTGTGCACTGCTGGGAGTGTATATATTATTCGACTTTGTCCGGGACCCCTTTAAAATGATCCCACTGGATATCCTTGCTTTGAGGCAGATGGGTGCATTTGAAAAAAAAGTGACATTTAAGTCGAGAATATCAAAAATTTTCCACTTCTTTCCTTAGCCACCCACTCCGCACACACGCCCGAAAGGATAACTTTGGCAAATAGATGCAGCCAAACAGGAGGAGAACAGTGGACCGTGGGGCTGGAAAAAACGGTTAGGGTGCGAAAGAAGGACGCTCTCCTAGAGACTTCACTACATTTTCATCCCGTGCCTTTTCCTTACAAGCCAGTCCCACTGAGTTCAATGGAAGTTTGTGGCAGGGTTTAAAAAAAAATACTTTCCAGCGAGCTTGGGTAAGAGTGCTGCTTCAATTCCATGGGAACCAGGGATATCTCACTGCAGCCAGGATCTGCCCATTGATCGAGATGAGCAAATAACAAGAAATCTTAGGAATACGTGACTTCCCCCTCGCACCCCCGCTGTCGGAGCTCCGATTGTTTAGATCAATGGAGAACCTTATCATTTCTTTGGAGCCCCATAGTATGGGAAAAGCAGGTGCAATGAAAGCTCATTAAGTTTGCCGAAAGAATACAGGCTGCGACCCTGCATTCACATTCCATGGAGCATAAGTTCAGTCAGAATTTATTCACAAGACTGGATAGAAAATATCTAGTTATGAAGCTGAGCTCTGTCTATCACAAGGAGGTCTTCAACAAGAATTTCCTATGACTTAAATAATCCACACGCACACCAGGAAAAAAGACCACTCTCGTGTTTTCTGTAAGATTTGCCACCTCGGAGCTCATTAGCAATTTCCGTCGTTAAAATCCCATCACGCAGGCAGAAACTGGACAATTCATCCCAAAACCCCAAGAAAGAAACTCATCTAGCAGAAAATGGCTCTGATGATCTGAAGTATTTTGCCAAGATTCGGCTTTCTCCTGGGAAGGTTTTGCCTTCCGAAAGGACTTTACACATCGAAACCAATCTTTGCGCACAGTTTCCCCCCACAATCATAGCAACTGCATCAGCCGAAGTCCAAGGTCAAGGCAAAATAGACAAACCGGCTCGCAATTAGTGTCTAGCCAGAAAAGAATGAACTTCACATGCAGCGTCTAAGTGGATGGGAAGCCCTTAAGTCTGAAGAACTGATTGCTAGATTTGGAAGGGAGTATATGATCCCCTGGGTGAGGGGGGAAAGAGTTTTGAGTTGACTAAATTAGGCAAACCCTGAACATGCCAGATGAACTAAAATTTTAAATCAACAGCACAACCCAAGACCCTTCAGGAGAATTCATATCTCGAGGAACAGAAGAAGATATGCCTCATTAAAAATACTTGGTGTATCTATGGGCGACTTACTATATCAAATAGGAAGTGGTATCAATACTGGGTTTCTGATCTGGGTGACAGCAGTGGCGTATAAGTCTCAGCCAAACTCCGGTAGCTCGCACCAAGGCTCTTTGTTCCTTATTTACAGCCGCTTCTTTCAGGACAATCATTACAGTATGGGTGAATATTTTTCTGGTTGCCTTAGGGCTGAAGAGACCCAATTTAGAAATGCAAAGATTAGTGATAGGCAAAAGGGGTAAAATCCAAGCTAAGTCCTAAAGCTAACCTACTGCAATGAATGAGACTTTAAGTCAATCATTGCTCCCTTAAATCTTATGTAGTCAGTGGGTCTACTTGCAGTAGGACTCAGACTGAATTTTCTCCAACCAGAATACTAGAACTGAGATCACAGAGATGATTTGAATTTGTGCTGAGCAGGTGCCTTTATTTCTAAATACCAAAGGATTATTTCTCCTCCTCCTCCTCCTCTTTCTTTGTGTGTTTCCTGAATAAAACAGACAACAGTAATAAATAAAAAGGGAATGGTCCTACAAAAGAAAGAAAAAAGAAAAAGAAAAAAAACAAAACAAAACAAGGAGGACCTTTCCCAGGTTTATGTAGGACCATTTACAATTCCTATTTCAATGAAATATTGACTTAATTAAAATTTGGATTTTACAATTCTATTTATGGGCGTCACATTGTATAAGAAAAATTGGCGGAACACTGGTGAAGAAAACTCAGAATTTGCACATTTTATGCTCTGAAAAATTAACATTCATTTTCAACTTTGATCAGTGCAATGATAAAATAACTAAGGTAAAAGGAAAAACCCAGTCTTTTTTTTAAAAAGAAATTCTTCCTCTCTGTATCGGGAGAATTTATTTCTTAAATAGCAGGTTTATTCCAGGGTCTGGCATCCCTCTTCATTTATCTGCCTTGTCTTAAGCAGCTTTTCATTTCATAAATTGCTTAGCAGTTTCTCATTTAAACGGGCTGATCTTGCTAAGATACTGAGCAGTGGATTGATAGCAGGAGTCAATTCTAGTGGCTTAATTAACTTAAAAATGCAGAAGGAGGCTTCTCTCTTTCAGAGAAGAACACCGTGTGGATCTGTTTGCTTCAATTGTGGTGATGCACTATATTACATGTGAGAGAGAGGAAAAGGAAAACAAGTTTCCTGGAATGTATTAGAATTTTGTAACTGCTGCTGATGCATTTCTTATGAGCAATCACATCTACTATCTCATTTCTTTCCATCGTCATTCTATTTTATAATCAGAATCTTCTCAGGGAACAATGGGAGAGAAATTTTAGAATACTGACCCAGATCCATGGAGAAGCATCCTGAGCAGAAAGGCAGAACAACCTTACACACATTTAGTTGGAAATAAATCCTACCCTGCTCAAGAAGGGTTACTCCCAGGTAACTGTGCTTAGGGTTGCAGGCTCCCAAAGTAGAGATGCACTGAGCTGTAGGACTTTAACTTATTGGGAAATATGTCTCTGACGCAGCAGAGTGAAGAAACCTAACTCTTAGCACAGCTATCTAATGAGTGATTTAGTTAATAACTGAAAAAACTGAGTTCTGTATCAGTGGAGCATATGTTTAATATGAAAAATAAAACTTCCAAATTAAGCTTGGAAGAAAAGGAGATCTCATATTTAAGGGCAAAAGCCCAGTTCTTTATTAGTTTGATTGCAAAGTATATGTTCCATTATGAGAAAGAAGAATGTGTTAAAAACAGATTAATGAAGGAAAGAAATACATTGCAAGTTGTCAGCAATTGTCATGAATTCAACATCCCCATCCAAAGAAATGGCAACCTTTGACTAAGTATTTTCTTACAGGGTTGCAAGAAACCCTGAAATCTGTAGGATTACTTCCCCCCAATGTATTGTAAGAGAACTTTTTGAAAACTGGAGGGATTTCAAAGCATATGAGAA